AATCCGAGCTGGAAACTCTCTGGTGCAGGGACCCAACTCCGACTATGCATATGTACAGCACCTGACACGATGTGGCCCTGACAAAGTTGTGGTGTCTGGGCACTAGTATGATGCAAATAATCATCGATCTATTAATAGAAAGAAGACTTGTGATTTTAACAGTCATTAATAACAGTTGCTTGCCCGTTAATAGTCAATATTCTTTTCCATGGTGGCCAGCTGCTAGCTTTTTGTTTTCCCCTGATGCAGAGACCACTAAAAGGCCCTATATGTTTCTCTCCTTGTCCTAGGAGCAGGGAGCTAGTGGAAACGTCCAGCTTTGTCTCACTATGTGAACCCCCCCCCCCCCCCCAAAAAAAAAAAAAAAACAACAACCCACCCCTTTGTACCCTTTTACAACTTTGTTTTCGGCCAAGCCGAACATATTCAACAGATGCAGGGTTTTAAATATAGAAAGCAGGTGTCTGCAGTGAAAGAGAAGTTCCTCAGTGCTTATCTGAAGTGCAGAGGGGCTTTCACCGGATACTCCTTTCAAAACAACCCCGTCAGAGCTGCTGCATCCTGACTGGGGCGATTTGGGCAAGCCTGTGTGATGTGACGGATTATTAATAGCCCTCAGAAACGTGATACTCAGCTACTTCACTTCCCAGGAGGACAGTGGGGATCTGCTCCTCATCAGGTCACTTCCTCCGGGAAGGTTTTAAAAGGAGGAGAATTGAATAACTTAGCACTTTGGCTGCAGGGCACTGTGTCCATCTACTCACTTCCAGCACACCAGGAAGGAGTTTGTCATCCTGACACTCAGGGCTGGCACGCTCACGTCCTCGCTTTGGGTAAGATTTCAGAAGCATTTCCAGGCGCTGAGCTCGCTGCAGCAAGACTGGGAAAAGACGTCTCTCAAAAGCTCAGGGCTTCAGGCAGTGGGGGACCCCCTCCTTAGAAATTCAACTTCACTGAGCCCCGCAGGTGCTGTAGGGAACCACACCGTGCAATAGTGGCTGTTCTTTGGGGAAAACGTGAGGTGAGCTTCGTCTCTTCCTGACTCAGGCCGTAACATGGGAAGCAGTAGCTACCTGCGAATCTCTTAGAGGTCCACTGGAAAACTCTGCTGATTTACTCAGGGTGAGGACTTTCAGACAGACAAGCTGACTGACTTGAGTCATCTTCATTTATTGAGGGGTTCTCGGTGTTTCTGCAGCAGCATCGCTCCCCTGGTATCTGTTGGAGGTGCCTGGGATAGATTGTCATTCTGAAACCTGTCGGGGGCCTAGTCGTTTTACAGGGAAGATTGCCGAGACTGTAACTTGAAGGCAGAGCGTCTCTTTCCAGTCTATCCTTTGTTGTAAGAGGGGATAGAATTCTCGTTAAGACGCATGGAGCATTGATTTGTTATGGGTTTGTTTGTTTTTTAATGTAAGTCACTGGGTGCCCTTTCAGGGGTGACCAGTACAAATGGAGTATGTTCTTAGCTCCCCTTTTACATTGCTCTCTCACAGATTCTCGCTCCTCCCCATCCCAGATTGGTGTAGGCATCAGCAATGAAAGAGGAACGCAGTTCCTCTGCAGACATGCAGTTCCTCTGTGCCAGTTTAGGAGCCTTCCCTCTTAGCATTTGGAAAACTAGCTGGACAAAGGAGAGACCTCCTCCTGCTCCTCCCAGGCTGGTATCTCCAGGGAGCAAGAGGATAGCCTGCACATATAGTCTAACTTTACGCTGTACAGTGATAAGTTCAGACATGGGATCACTGATTGTGCTGGAATGCTTCAGGCGGCTGACAGTTCTCACAGAGCGTGGTATCCATTGGCCTTGTCCGGTTTCCACATGTTGCCCTCGGAGGGTAAAACCCCAACAGCCTTACATTAGCGCAAAGGAATTCACACAAACTAAGTTTCCCAGGCAGGGAACCAAATTTCCACTGAAGTTCTGTGGAGAGTGGGGGTGAGAAGAAATGTGGCCCTTTGGACTGGGGCAGGAGTTGAGGGTGGGGGGTTCTAATCTCTGCACTGCCTATGACTCGCTGTGTGGAAATTGGCTAATCAGTTAACCTCAGCGTGTTATCCCCATTTCACAGATAGGTAAATCCTTTCCCCATCTCATAGGAGCAGTGCCCTGAGTTATCAGTTATTTGTGCAGTGATTTGAATGTGCCAAATGCTGCATAAACATGACATCGTTTCATAGGTCCACGTTGCCCCAAGTCAAGATGTAAAGCCTGTCAGAAGGTTTTCAGGGCAGGGCAAGGATCTCCTCCTGTTGTGTCATTACACTGGACGAGCTGTGGGGCACACCCCCAAACCCCCAGAGGTCGCTTGCCCTGAGGTTCCCCTCCTTGGAAGGGGATCTGTCCAATTACTGTTCATCAGTAAAGATGCTTTGCCATTATGTCTCCATCTGTGAGAACTCCAGCTCAGGTAGGGACTGCCTCTCGCAATGACCGTTTGGTTTCCAGCCCCCCCTCTCATTTATACTTGCTGCCCATTTCAGTGTTGCTGCCATGTGACAAATGGATGGTTTGACTCTCCTGCTGAAGGTGGCTATGTAAATGTTGTGGGAGGGCTCACGGGTGGTGGCATTCTTAGGAAAATCTGCTTTCTCTCCATGTCAGTGTATTTTTCTGTCCACTTGAGACTGGCTGGGCCGGTGTGTGGGCAGGATGTTGGGGAGAACCGCTAGGATATTTCCTGCCGTGGAGAGCCACAGCAATTTTCAAAGGGCTGTTGCTGAAACTAGGGGCCTACGTGTGGCTTTGGGGATCTGGGGTCAGGCCCGTTAATGGGAAAACTTGGCCTTGACTGAGTCCCCACAGAGCCTAGGGAGGAGAGGAGGGACAGGCTTGTGCTTCAGCCACGGGATTAGGACTTGAGAGATCCGACTATCCGATTTTTTTCAAGAGAGCGCAGATTTCCAGAACTGTTCATCGCCCAGGGTGCAGAGCTGTCTTGACTGTCTGGCCCTTCATCTTTGTGTGCTTGGGTTCCCTCTCTGTAAAATGGGGGTGATTGTAGTTCTTTTCTTCCCCCCTCCCTCCTTTATCTTGTCTCTCTCTGTGGGCGGAGATGGGCTGTTAATGTGTGTTTACGCTGCGCTGAGTGCAGTGGGGCCCTGGTCTTGCTTGGGGTCTTCAGGTGCTGCATAGTTCTAATAATAACAGTATGTAGCTCCCAGTGACAGCAGGAATTGCTTTTAGCTCTTTTCCTAATGTGTCATGTCACAGTTGGACAGCCCATCACCCTCTCCCTCCATCTTTAACCCCTTCCTGGATTCAGAGTAACAGCCATGTTAGTCTGTATTCGCAAAAAGAAAAGGAGGACTTGTGACACCTTAGAGACTAACCAATTTATTTGAGCATGAGCTTTCGTGAGCTACAGCTCACTTCATCGGATGCATACCATGGAAACTGCAGCAGACTTTATATACACACAGAGAATATGAAACAATACCTCCTCCCACCCCACTGTCCTGCTGGTAATAGCTTATCTAAAGTGATCATCAAGTTGGGCCATTTCCAGCACAAATCCAGGTTTTCTCACCCTCCGCCCCCCCACACACAAATTCACTCTCCTGCTGGTAATAGCCCATCCAAAGTGACAACTTGGTGACCCCTTCCTGGATGTTTGTCAGCAGTCTTCAGAGGCATCTGCTGAATTGAAAGAACAAGGGGTCGGGAGGTTGGATAATGCAGCATTAGCATGGTCCCTCGTGTAGTATAAACGGTAGAGGATGGCACGTAGTGGGTTAAGCCTCTACTAGCAGCCTCCTCCCTCAGGTGTGCTGTGAAGCGCTGTTACAGTTCCAGTTGCTTTTTTGTGCTGCGTCTGCAAGAAGAAAGAACCAACCAAAGATGTTGCTCTGCTCAGCCACCTCCCGTTTCAGTTTACTTATGTGCTTATGTTCTATTTTGAGTCTCTGGCCACGCAGGGCTAAGCAGCCTGTGACCTGGGGAAGGTGTGAGTTTTTCAAAACAAGAGTCTGCGAGTGGCTGAGTGGGGTGATCAAATGGGGAGGCTGCCTCCAGCCGGGATGGTGGGGTGCATCTCCTTCAGCCAGGCAGGTTGCAGACCACATGCTGGATATCCTCGAGTCATAGAAATTAGGGAGTTCCTCCATTTCTCCCACATTCACAATCTCTTGACTGGTTTCAGAGTAGCAGCCGTGTTAGTCTGTATTTGCAAAAAGAAAAGGAGGACTTGTGGCACCTTAGAGACTAACCAATTTGAAGAGAGCTGTAGCTCACGAAAGCTTATGCTCAAATAAATTGGTTAGTCTCTAAGGTGCCACAAGTCCTCCTTTTCTTTTTGTGAATCTCCTGACTGGCCACAGTTGTTCCATGCGGAATATACACAAGGGCTCTGTCTAGTTTCAGGGCTGTTGAGCAGCAGAGGCTTAAATGAGGGGCCATTGAATCTGGCTGTTCTTTAACAATGTGTTTCACTGTGAAATGCACAAGAAAATCCTTCCTCACAGAAGTGAGCGGCTCTAAAGGCTGCCTGAAAAATGTTCCAGATTCTCTCCCTCTGAAATGAGTCAGATTCAAGAGGTCACAGAAGCACTGGGGCTTTTACCAATTCTCTTGGGAGACTGTTCCACAGCCAGACATTTCCCCGTGGGAGGGGATTTTAGCTCCATTTTTCTTTTCCTTAATCTTCTCCCATTACTGTTTGATATAGCCCCATGGACAGCCCTCCCCGTTGCTTTTACAGCTTTCGGTGGGAAGCTGTTGTGTGCTGCCTCTTATCATGTACCCCAAGACCTGGGTGTTTGGAGCTTCTATATACGTCAGCAGTGATTACGGAGTTTTCATTAGCCCCTGTTCCCTAAACCGCCTGCAGCCATCACGAATGTTTGTGCGTGCACCAAAGCCAGCTAAACTTCAATAGGAAAAGGCTTCTTATAGTTGCTTTGCACTCTCCCTTCCCCAGGATGGCTGTTGCTGACGTTTGTCTCTGGCATATTCCTCACGCCCCTTCTTACAGCCTGGATGTTTCACGTTGCTGCTGTCAGTTACTTATGTGCACACACAGGGACACTCTCTGCTCTCCATCTACCCTCATGTACTAATAGCTTTATTAATAGGTTTCCAGCTCCTCAGGAGGCTTCTAAGAGGAATGCGCCTCTGATTTCATGCCTCAGGAACAGGCACTGACTGAAGAACCAAAAAAAGAGAGAGAGGAAAAGCTTAGTTGACCTAAGAGTATTAGAAGTGCATTTACTTGACATTAACCATTGAGCAGTGTCAGTGTCATGTGGCTGCTTAGGGGAGGCTGACTGGTTACAAGCAGAGTGAGTTATTCCGGTCAGAAATCGTGTGTGGTTTCTCCTACCCTACTGTGTTGTGTTTGCTTGGATACTAGCAACTTAAAGGTAAGATACAGATAGACATTTCAGATTCTCTCTTGATCCCTGCGTGTGTGTAATAAATTGCATGCTGTTGCTTGGAAACATAGACAGACATGGCTATAAAGTCCCTAATCTCAGATGTTTCGTTACAGAGCATTAACAGCACAATATCTTGATGCTGAAGGGTTTTTCTCAGCGACTGCTGGCTCAGATCAGCTTTAATTGTGGCAGATGGTACTTGGATTCGGAGGAACAAGTACCACATTTGTATTCCTAAGGTGGCACTTAAGGCAGCTTCTCTGTCTTGGCAGTGTGTCAGTGTGTTTGTTGTATTTGACCAACAGAAGGGGGAACATAAGCACAGAGTTCTCCTTATAACATGGGTAAAATGGCTTTTAACCATTTCCCTTCTGTCTCGAGCAGTAGGTGACTGCACTGAGCAGTGATTAGTTTTCTAGCCCATGAGCCTTGCAGGGACACAACGCTGCACCAGCTGCTGACTGCACTTTTTGAAAGTGTTTCAGAGGAACAGCCGTGTTAGTCTGTATTCGCAAAAAGAAAAGGAGTACTTGTGGCACCTTAGAGACTAACCAATTTATTTGAGCATGAGCTTTCGTGAGCTACAGCTTACTTCATCAGATGCATACCGTGGAAACTGCAGCAGACTTTATATATACATAGAGAATATTCTCTATTGTTTCATATTCTCTATGTATATATAAAGTCTGCTGCAGTTTCCACGGTATGCATCTGATGAAGTAAGCTGTAGCTCACGAAAGCTCATGCTCAAATAAATTGGTTAGTCTCTAAGGTGCCACAAGTACTCCTTTTCTTTTTTTTGAAAGTGGTCACTTCCAGCTTTCCAAGCCATAAATAAGGGGTGAGTGTGAGCTGCTTTCCTGCCATGCCTCACATTGCTAGCACTGCTGATGCTTTGTAATGACATCTCTCTTTAAATCGCATGTTGGTTGTTTGTAATCTCCTGCCCATCCTGTAAATCCAGACAGAGATTACTCTCGCCTTCCTTCCTCCCCAGCTTTTTGTTAGCAGACCAGCTTCCCAGCAAACTTGCCCCACTAAATCAGCTGCCAGCTGAAACGAATCCTCCTCCTTGGTTATGTTTATTTTCTTTCCCCCACTGCTTTCCCTCCCTCCGCTGCTGAGCTGTCCAATTGCAAACTGCCCCCTGAACCACAGGCTAACCGTGCCCAGATGATCTTGAAGCAGAAATACATGGCACTCAGCAGGCACACTGTGCAATTTTGATATTCTGTGCTTTATAGTATCCCCTGGAAACACACAAAAGTGGCTCTTTACAGCCCAAAGTGCTCTATCTAGCTGGTGTCAATCAACCAGAGCTGTGGGATGGGGTGAGGCGAAGTTATCTATCTGACCTCCATTATCATACTATCTGAGCACCTCACAATCTTTAATGTATTGATCTTCACTGTGCCCCTGTGTGAAGTGAGGCAGTGCTGTTACCCCCCATTGTACAGATGAGGAAACTGAGGCACAGAGGGACTTAGTGACTTGCCCACGGTCACCCACAGAGTCTGTGGCAGAGCAGGGAATTAAACCCAAGTCTCCCAAGTCCCATGCTAGCACCCTAATCACTGGGCCATCCTTCCTCCATAGAGTCAACTAAGTTGGCCTTAGTTTTGTTTGGTTTTGGAGTGGAATACAGTATTTCCGATGGAAAGGAAACGAGGGAGTGTGCTACTTACATCCAGCTACATCCCAGTGCTCTTTCCACTAGGAGATGGTGTGTCCATCTGGGAGGCGCGTGTGTTGTTATTTATTCGTGTTGCTGCATTATGAAGGAGCCCTAGTCAAGAGCCAGGAGCCCATTGTGCTAAGTGCAAACGCAGAACAATGTAGAAGGGAGGTAAGACCCTTATTTTTATTAAGTAGTATTTATTAATGACACTCCTCCTCAGACCCAAATAGGAGAGAATCCATAGGGGAATGAGCACTGTCGCAAAGGGCCTTCCTCTACTTTGCTTTAATTTGGGCAGAGATGGGCATCCAGTGTGTTGCAGTTAAATCCTTAATTTCTCCCCTTTTTCCTTGTCCTCAGTTCTGTCTGCCCCCAACTCTTCCATGGTAAGGCCGCCCTCCATCCGGCAGAGGACTCTCCTGCAGGGGGACCTGCAGATCCTATCAAATCTCCCCTTCCTAGCTGAGTGACAGGAGTGAGGTGCTGTCAGCTGCTGGAGCTTGGAGACAGCAAGGCTGGGATGAGAGATCTACCTTTGTTGACCTTTTGGTCCCAGCCACTTCTGCGCTGGCCTCAGTAACCAGTCAGGCTCCTTTCTGAAACGCTGCGCTGCCGTTTTTCATACCCAGGAGTCCCGGCTGGCTGCTTATAAGTGATGAGGCTTTGGGGCTGTGAAAGGAGACATTTCACCTGGACCAACCAGCCCATTTATCATTCTATCTCGATTACTCATATTAGTGCCTCACAGTTGCTAACGTGTTTTTCTAACGGCCCAGTGCCGATATCCTCAGTGTACAGATGGGGAAGTGAGTTTAAGAGACTGACTTACCTAAAGTCACACTAAGAACATGGCAGAGGCAGGAGTTGAACCGAGGGTCCCCCCAGCCTTCCTCTCTTTCTGTGATGGTCACCTTGGTATCTTGCTTGTTAGAATGGACGCTTCCGCTTTTCAGGATATCTGGGGTTCTTGTAATTTTCAGTCCATGCATCTGAAGAAGTGGTGTTTGGGGTTGTCGTGGCTTCCAGTGGAGTTGCAGAGGCTGCAATTGTGAAAATGCTGTCGAGCTGCCTAAAAACAGGGCTAGGGTGCAGGCGGAACCTGCCGCGAATCGCCCCCAGCCCACTCGTTCACGCAGAGCACGTTGGTTGTTAGTTTGAGTTACTCAGAGGGCGGGGGAAACCCCGATTGCGGGGACAAGGGCAGTAACAAAGAGCTTGAAGGGGACTCAGTGTGCAAGCTGGGTTCAGTTCCCGGCCCTGCACAGATATTTCCTGTGTGACCTAGGGTAAGTCAGTTACTGAGTCTCTCTCTGGGTGTGAGAAAACCCCCAAACCTCACAGCAGTGAGTCTCAGAACCCCGGTCAACTGACTCGGGCTCATGGGGCTGTAGCTATTGGGCTAAAAATAGCAAGTAAATGTTCCCACTCAGTCTGGAGGCCAGGCTCTGAGACCCAGCCCCTCACCGGGTTTCAGAGCCCAGCTCCAGCCCGAGCAGGAATGTCAACACTGCTGGTTTTTAGTCCTGTTGCACAAGCCTGTCAGTTGACCTGGGCTCTGAGACTTGCTGCCGTGAGGTGGGGTTTTTTTGGTGTGTTTGTTTTGCTGTGTAGACATACCCTCTCTGCCTTCCTTCCCCCTGTAAAGTTGAGCTACTTCCTCCCTCCCAGGCGTGTTGTGAAGATAAAATCCCTCAGCGATTGAGGCCTCAGATACTAGGGTGTTAGGGCCATATATGTACCTAGTTAGAAGAAAACTTCAGGCTTGAAATACCCATCGGTAGGCAGGTATAATTTAGGAGTGAATGAGTCTCCTTCTCTTATAGTGGGGAGCATTGGCCTTTTGCGATGCAGCTGGAGTCTGCTGGGCTAAAGAATCTGATCTTTTCTTGGGACTTAAAATTATCCACCCTGTGAGATCTCCCCCCCCGCCCCCGACTCAAAACCTTCCCTGTGCTGTAACCCTTGACATCTTTCCTTGCTAGGTTGGTTTTCTTCCCTGGACACACAGGCTGCCTCAACATTAGAACTTGCTGTGGTGTATCAGACTGGAGGATGCAGAGCTTTCACCATGACCTGTGGCGTAAGCTTCAGGAGGCAATACACCCGTAATGGCCTTGACCAGTTGTGCAGCCCTGTATCTGTGGGGAGGTGGCGGCAGCAGAGCCTAGATACCATGGTGGTGGGGCACGAAACATGTCTTCAGAGGGAGTGGGGTAAATTCTTCTGCTGTCCTTCGCTGTGACCAAGGGACCCCTGAATCCTGAGACTGGATTTTTCCTGTGGCTGTCTGGGATAGGAGGGAAGGGTGTGCTGTTAGCACATACTGGTTAACACATGCTAGCTAATATGTTTGAAGTGTCTGGTGTACTTAGCACAGGTTAGATAATGTGTGTGAACATCACACCTTTTGCATCCTTTTCTAGGCGAGGCTAATCACAGCATGCTGCAGGGGGCCCTGGACTGGTACCCAGGAGACCTAAATTTCATTCCCAGCCCGACATATTGGGCCCTGGGACAACTCTTTCCACACCTTGGTGTGTTTGTCAGATAGTCCTTACCCCGCTTCGTAAAGTGCTTTGGGATCTATGAAAAGAACTAAACAGCACCTGCTTCCAAATGCCTTTTTAAAAGGACCCGTGTGATACTGTCCTGGCATGCCCAAGCCTGTGTTTAAATCCTGCTCCAGTATTGACTCTGTAAAGAATGGACTGTTACGGGGTGGATCAGAAGTACGTGGCTCCTGGCATAGCATGTGGGGACAGAGATCTGCTAGAGCATGGAAGTGTTCAAATGTGGCAGGGGGATTTAATGGGGAACTAGCAGCGCAGATTAAATGTATAACCCTTGTTGCTGTCCCTTTAAATCAGAGGTGGGCAAACTACGGCCCGCAGGACCATCCTGTCCGGCCCCTGACTTCCCGGCCAGGGAGGCTAGTCCCCGGCCCCTCCCCCGCAGCCACGCTGCCAGCGCTCTGGCCCAAGGGGGCAGGGATTCCAGGGGGGCAGTCAGGGAGCAGGGGACAGTTGGATGGGGTGGAAGTTCGGGGGGGGGGGGCAGGGAGGGTTGGGAGTGGAGTCCCGGGTAGGGGGGCGGCGGCTGGGGTGGGGCGGTCAGGGGATAAGGAGCAGGGGGGTTGGATAGGTTGGGGGTTTTCTGAGGGGGGCAGTCAGGGGGGTGGAAAGTGGGAGGGGGGCCAGATAGGGGGAGGGGGCCTGGCTGTTCAGGGAGGCAAAGCCTTCCCTACCCAGCCCTCTGTACAATTTCGCAACCCCGATGTGGCCCTCTTTAAATCATACAAATGAGAAATTGTATTGGCCCAGGGCGGGGGACACATTTCCTAACAGCTGCCTTCCTGCGCGGCTGCTCCTGCAGGAGGAAGCTACACAGCAGCGCAGACTCTTACCTTCTCAGGGACTGTTCTGGTGAGCAAAGCTGCTGAAGAAATCCTGAGTCCGTGCTCTGATGGCTTCAAACCCCCAACCCTTCCTGAAGGCCCCAGTGCCGCCTCTGCCCTCCCAGCCCCGAGGATGCAGTAACTGTTTCTTGGGTGTAGCTAGTCATTCTTGCACGTTTGCAAGGCTCGTGAGATGGATCCACTCTGTCTTTCCCCCCGCAGAGCAGACAGCTGGGTTTCTCTGCAGCTGTCTCAGGTTTTTTAATAGTTAGAAACAGCTAGAAATGCCTTGCTGTAAGTTTCTCAGAGCTAAGCCGAGCAGTTTAACTTTCACCTGTGACCTGCTGACCACCCTTCACATCCTAGGCTAAGCTGATGAACGCAAGCCCCCTTTCCCGTGAGCTGCTCCGCCCCCCATGGCCCTGCCAATCCAACCAGGGTAAGGTTTGGCTGTGATCATAATCGGACCAGATCCCAGCTTGTGAGGAGAGCTTGCTGCTAGATTCCCATGTGCCGTTGGCAGCAGGGTACAGTGTGGTCCCAGCTGCATCTGTTAAAGGCAATTGTAGTGTGTTGTCGCAATGAGCTGTCTGCCGGTCGTAGGGAAGCCCCAGGTGGCGTAGAGGCAGTTGTCCACCTGTGTGGGCCTGTGAACCCTGGAGAGAATGTCGCCCGCGTCTTCCCCAGAGCGCGGTCAGGCTTCTAGCACGGTTCAAAGAGCTGAGCTCTGGCTTCCCAGATCCATGTGTTGGGCGCTGGGCGTGTCTCTCGGTATAGCAGCACTGGGCAGGAGCGGGAGAGCATCTCCAGTGCCAGGCCTTGGACTCTGAGCCCCCGCCGTCAGGTTTCGGGAGGGGAAGCAGCCTTTGTCTGAAGGGACGGTGTCTTCATTGTCGAGCTGCTCCCTACGCTCAGGGGTCAAGTAGCAGGTGAATGTTTTCCAAGCAGATAATTACTTGGCTGAGTGCTGTGGATGCTCCATCGGTGCTTGTCCGTCCCGCGGGGTATCCCAACGAGCCGTGCTAAAGCTCAGCCACCCATGACCCGGGGCAGGCAGCTGGAGGCTCACACTGAGTTGTATTACCCGCGGGGGAGCTGGCCAGCAAGATTTGAAAATGGGCCTTCCCAGAAGACGAGTCATTCACGAATTTCTCTGCGTGGCACAGTCGCGAGAGAGTGGGGTTTGCAGAGGCTGTACAGGGTGACTAGTGCCTATTGTGTGTTCCTCTCACACCTTTCACCTGACAAATACATGTCGCAGTCGCTCAGCCTCCAAGCACCGCCTGAGCTGGGCAGATGGCACGCCTATTGCTAACCAGAGGCAGAGACTAGACAGAGTGGTTTCCCCAAGGTTACCTGCTTCGCTAAGGGCAGACCTGGGAATAGAGCCCAGGCGTCCTGGCGACGAGCCCTCTGCCCGGCCACTTGCCTGCCTGGTTTCTGCTGAGAGCATTTGCTGTTAGGTGATCTGATCTCATTACGTCCACCTTAGCCGGCCCTTAGTGTGACAATTCCTGAAGTGTTTTGCTCAGGGCTAGGGTGGAAAAAGGGATTTGGCTTCAGACGCAGCAGCTGCGTCCCCTACTAATTTTGGCACTTCGTGGCCCGGTGTAGCTTTCTCTTTACTTGATCCCAACCCCACATTGATTTCATCCTGTCTGTTTCTCCCTTCCAGGCTCTCTCTGCCGGTGACTGGCTGTGGATTTATGGAGGTGCCGGGGAGCAGCTTTGAGTATTGCCACGCACAACATTGTGCCCACTGAGGAAGGGTCTCTGCCAGCTCTCCTGCCCCTGGGTCCGTGCCCTCGGGTTTAACCATTCAAATCTCCCGTGCATGGCTCTCGCAGCCAAGGGACTTCTGCTGGCTGCTGCCACAGCCTGATCCGCTTCGGGCCCCCATCGCTGCTCCCAAGTACTCCACCTATCCAGATGGGGTAACGTGACGGAGCGCAACGGCACGCAAGGAGGTTCCCTGATGCAAAGGCCTTTCTAGAGAGGAGAGCAAGGAAACCGGACGGCGCAGAAGGCAGGGAGGGCGGCGGCTCTGGATTGCACGCCCAAAGGAAACTGACACTACAAAGGGAGATTATTATTTTTTATTATTATTATTTGGCTTCAAGCACATGGCTTTTTGTGTGTGTTGGGGGATCTAACACACTCCCAAGAGCTGGGAATATTTGCACAACATTTGTGTTGGGGTTTTTTTAAATTACTTCCTCTCCCCCCCCAAAACACCAGGTGTTTTTTGTTTTTTTTACCTCTCGTCCTTCTTTCTTTATTTCCCCCTGCCACCCTCACTTCACCATGGCCCGTATGAATCGGCCTGCACCTGTGGAGGTCTGCTACAAAAACATGCGGTTCCTGATTACCCACAACCCCACCAATGCCACGCTCAGCACCTTCATAGAGGTAAGGAGGAAATGCAGGAAAGGTGGGGGGTGGCTTAGGGAGTTGGTAGTAGGATATAGAGGTTTGAACTCTCGGGGACACCAGTTCAAATCGACCCCGTCTCTTGACTGGGACTCAGGAGATCTCGGTTCAGTTCCTGGCCCCGCAACAAACTACATAAGTGCCCCATGGCAAGTCATTTAATCTCTCTGTCCCTTAACTCCCTATCTGTAAAATGGGGCCAGTAATACTGTCCCTTCTCCTCTCACCCTTGGTCTGCCTTATCTGCTAGGGTTGTAGTGTCTTTGGGGCAGGGACTCCCTATACTACAACTCAGATCTATGACTGAGATTTAAAATGAAAGGAAATTGGGCATCCAGCCCTCTAAGCAGCTTTACCAGCCTCACCCTATGTGTACGTGCAGCTCCCAGCACAAATGGTCCCTGGTCATTTGGGGCCTAGAGGTGGTGCTGTAATACAGGCCATAACACTCCTCCTTTGCAGGCGTATCAGTCCAGAGCCTCTCACCACCAGTACCTGGGGACTCATTTGGAGTGACGGAACAGTTCTGAGCGTAGGCCATCCTGTCACCCAGCTCCTTGTTCACACAGCACCCGTGCCGAGGAGGAAAATACCTCGTAATATCTGGATCTGAAAATGGATGCTGCTTTCCCAGTTGCGAGTACTCACCACTAGGCTGCTCAGCGTTCATAATACACAGCAATTTGGAGAGTCTCTCTGATCCTCCGAGGCCCATTTGCCAGACAAAGGCACTTAGCCATAGATCGGTACAGTGGGTTGCCTTTGACCAGATTCATAGATTATAAAGCCAGAAGGGGTCAGTGTGGTCATCTGCTTGGACCACATGCATAACGCAGGCCATAGGACCTCCCTGCAATACTTACTGCATAAACTAGAGCTGATTCTTGAGAACAGGGGTGGGCAAACTACAGCCTGGGGGCCACATCCAGCCCTCCAGACTTTTTATTCCAGCCCTTGAGCTCCCATCGGGGAGAGGGGTCTGGGGCTTGCCTTGTTCTGGAGCTCCAGCCACGGAGTGGGGTCAGGGGCTTGCCCCACGCCGCACGGCTCCAGAAAGCAGCGGCCTGTCCCCCCTCTGGCTCCTCCGTGTAGGGGCAGCCGGGGGCTTGGCACCCAGGAACCACAGCCAATGGGAGCTGTGGGGCGGTGCCTGCGGACACGGCAGTGCACAGAGCTGCCTGCCTGCATCTCCACTTAGGAGCCGGAGAGGGGACATGCTACTGCTTCTGGGAGCTGCTTGAGGTAAGCACCGCCCGGGGCCTGCACCCCCAACACCCTGCCCCAGCCCTGATCCTCCTCCTGCCCTCCAAATCCCTCAGTCCCAGCCTGGAGCACCCTCCTGCACCCACCACCCCTCAGTCCCAGCCCCACCCCAGAGCCTGCACCCCCAGCCAGAGCCCTCATCCCCTCCTGCACCCAAATCCCCAATTTCGTGAGCGTTCATGGCCTGCCCTACAATTTCCATACCCAGATGTGGCCCTCGGGCCAAAAACTTTGCCCACCCCTGCTTTAGAAAGGCATTCAACCTTGATTTTAAAATTGCCAGTGATGGAGAATCGATCACCATCCCAAATCTAGTTCCAATAATTAATTGCCCTCATTGTTTAAAAAAAACAAAAGTGTGCCTTATTTCTAGTCTGACTTTATCTTCAGTTTCCAGCCACGGGATAGTGTTATTCCTTTGTCTGCTAGATTGAAGAGCTCTCTTATCAAATATATGTTCCCCATGTAGATACTTACAGACTCTGATTAAGTCACCCCTTATCCTTCTCTCCATTAAGGTAAATAGATTGAGCTCCTTGACTCTGTCCTATAAGACAGGTTTTCTGTCCTTTAATCGTTCTTGTGGCTCTTCTTTGAACCCTCTTCAATTTATCCACATCATTGTTGAGTTGTAGACACCAGAACTGGACACAGTATTCCCACAGCAGTCGCATCAGTACAGCTCCTTTTTATACATCCAAGGATCACATTAGAGAAAGCCTGTCTCAGTCTAGTGTACCTGGGCTCCCACTTTCAAGCTTCTCTTTGTATTCTCTGTGACTGCAGTTAGCTGACTACATTGTTCTATAAATATTTCTGTGGCTGTGTCTGCAGGAGGACAAGGGGGAGACGTTGGGAGGTAGTCGGTTACCTGACTGTAATCACCCTTGTCATGCCAAAATCTCAGAGTTGTGGCAGGGTATCCATGATGTTTATCATCTCCAGATCACTGTGAGCCACTCTGTTCATGCTTAGCCTCCTGGCCTCTCAGAAGAATTGAAGATACATCTCAACTGCCGTGTTCTCCCTTTGTTCACTGGTCTTGTACCTCACCTTCTATCGGAGGCAGAACTGAAACGTTCTGGAGCTCAAGCTGTATCGCTGTTTGAGTAAGAGTGCAAAACTGCTTCCTTATAGCACTTGATCACCCCGGCATTCAGAGTAAACTCTCATCTCTGTCCTCACGTGCACACCCTCCCTTCCCATCTGCCCCCACCAGTTGCGGAATTTTATAAATTACATTCTCACAGCCACAGCCCAGCAGCTCCTGTTCCTCATTAGGCTTAGCAGACTAAAGGCGACAGAGATGCTTTGGTGATGCTGCACAGATAACAATCTTCATGAGCTCACTGTCTGGGCTCTGGATCCCAATGGCAAAGCAAGTAATTGTAGGGTGGTAGAATTAGAAGCGATGTGTCTGGCATTATCTGCCGCTTCACACATGTGTGGGGAAAGAAGGGTGCGGCTTTGACCCCGTTCTTCCACCAAGGAGAGAGTTTTAGTTCTGTGGTCATCAAAATGGAAAAGGCTAAGTTCTCCTAAGGAGACCTGAGCCTGGTCTAGTTTACTTCGCTCACATGCACATGTTCTTCTGTTGGTTGAACACATGATATCCCCCCTTAAATGTATACAGCATTCCAGAAAATCCCAAGGTATTTAAAATGCAAACTGACTTCATCTGCCATTCGAAACCAGCCCACCTGTGGAGCATTCATGTACAGCAGATGAAACATGTTGTCAGATCTAGCTTACTGTTCTTTCTTTGGCACCGTCCACAGAGCATTTTATTTACTGGTTCGATGTGAGTTAGTGTCAACTGTCCATGAGCTCTCAATGTTAAGTCATTGCTCTCTGGGACACGGCACAAACAGAATCTTGAGAATTCAGCACAGCAGGAAGGGACATGTATGCAGGACTTTTCCCGTGCAGAGCTGACTTGAAGCTGGGGGTGTTGAACAACTGATTTGCAACAGGTTGGAAGTAAGGAGGCTAATCACAAGCCATGTTTGTGGCATAAAATAAAACCTTGTTAGATGCGCTCTTCTCACCATCATCTCAGGCTTCCTGGCACCATCCGGGTAAAGGCATGAGTTGGAGCTGGCTTGCTCAGCTGTAATGGCTTGCCGTTCAGTATGCCAAGCATTCTGAAATGGTCAGATATATTCTGAGGATGCTCTGCTGAGAAGATGGCTGGTGCGCCCTTCTGAGCCAAAGAAGAAACTGTCCAGGATAGAAAAAATAATCCCTTCAGAGCCTGAGAAGCAAAAATCTGCTGACACCAGAGACTTCCTTTTCACACGTGCAAAGGACCCACCAAAGCAGGTGTGAGCCGTACCGATTTTGAAGGGAGGCAGGTACGTATGCTGTGTGTGGGAGGGAGAAGGAAGGGGAACATTTTAGATATGGTGGGAGGAGGGAGAGCACCATAAACCTTTCCCTAGGGTTTGCTGTTTGCTCATAACTTTTTGAAGCATCTGGTATGAAAGTAGATTTGCCACATTCAGGCAAGAAGCAATTCAGATGATTTTCCATGAAGCATAAGTTAGCTGATTTTGTCAGATCGAAGTTCAAGGCCAGTCCATGGTCCAGGTGATAAGCCATGCTGGAAGTGGACCAAGTCTTTGACTGCCTGTAGCATCCAACTAAATTGCTTGAGGGATGTAGCAACAAAACTCTCCGGTTGATCAAGAAGGTGACCTATGTAACTTGCAAAATCCTTACTGCATTGGTGAGTGAAACTGAAACAAGTGGTGGACCCGGAACCTAAAGATACTAATCTCTCACATCAGAAGTGGGGGTTTTTGCACAGCGTTGTAAAAACAAATCTAAATTCTTTCTTTTGAAGACTTGCACCTGCATAAGTGAGAAGGGCACTGGTGGTTAGACGCAGTTTATTTTAGGCATAGAGCAACAAACTGAAATGCAGTTGGACTTTGGGTTCAGTTGGATTGTGTGCAGTTTAGCCTCCACTTCATGTTGCATGCAGTCTGGCTCCCAACTTTCATAGATTTGTAGAGTCTGAGGCCAGAAGGGACCATTGTGAACATCTAGCCTGATGTCCTGTATAGCTCAGGCCCTAGAACATCTCCAAAATAGTTCCTAGAGCAGGTCTTTTAGAAAAACATCCAACTTTGATGCAAAAATTATCAGTGAGGGAGAATCCACCATGACACTTGTTATTCCAGTGGCTAATTACCCTCACCCTTTTAAAAAAAAGCACAGTACGTCTTGTTTCCAGTCTGAATGTGTTTGGCTTCAACTTCCAGCCATTGGATCGTGTTATCCCTTTGACTGCTAGATTGAAGAGCCCATTGTCAAATATTTGTTCCCCATGTAGACGCTTAGACTGTGATCAAGTCACTTTTCTTCTTTATTACTGTGTTAGGCATAGACTCTGATGCCTACAGTTGAGTATTAATAGCCTCTTTTACAATACTGAGCGCTCCTGTTATGCATGTGTTGCTTAAAGGGACAAAGTCAACTTTTAACGTCTGGTCCATTTGAAAAAGAGTTTAAAGTAACTTCAAATTTTACTCGCACACAGAGTCCCCCTACCAGATTTTGCGGTTTTACAATTACCTTTCTCTATTTTATTAAAAGGGGTTTCTCTCCTCTCTTGCTGTGTGAAAGACAAGCATCAAACAGCACAGGAAACAGACCAGCTGACTGGAAATACAAGGAAAACAGTAAAACTAACCACACAAAATGCTGTCAGA